GGGGGGGGGGGGGGGGCAGGAAGAGATTAACCAAAGAACTTAGATGCATTATATGCATTACTCACCGACAGACACAGACAGTGCAGTGAAAGCCTGGGGGAGACAGGAGGGGGGTGGAGGGGGTCAGCAGGGGAAAAAGGGAGAACACCTGTAATGTTTTCAACAATAAAGATACATTTATGTCCACTGATTTATAAATGAATAAACAAAATATGGTACATGTGTATAATGGAATGTTTTCCACTTTACAAAGGAAGAAAATTCTGAAACATATTGCAACATGAATGAACCTTGAGAAGGGCATTATACTAATGAATTATGCCAGACACAAAGGGACACATGTTATATAATTTTACTTATATTAGGTACCTAGACTAAGCAAATTTATAGAGATGAAAATAACATGGTGGCTGCTAGAAGCTGAGGGGAAGAGAAAATGTGAGTTATTGTTTAATGGCTAAAGAGTTTAGAAAGATGAAAGGATTTGGAGATGGATGGTAGTGACAGTTGAGCAACAATGTGAATATACTTAATTTTACTGAGCTGTACACTTAAAAATTGTTAAAATAGTATTTTTTCACATTGCATAATATTTTGCCACAATAAAAAAAAGGGATTATTCCCAGAGCAAACTCCAGAATTTTTGTGAGGCCAAGATTATTATTATTTTTTTAAAATATCTTTATTGATTTCAGAGAGAAGAAAGGAGACAGAGAGAGAGAGAGAGAGAAACATCAGTGATGAGAGAGTCACTGATTGGCTGCCCAGCCCACAACCCAGGCCTGTGCCCTGACCGGGAATCGAACCCCGATCGCCTGGGTCCTAGGTCCACCCTCAACCGCCGAGCCACGCCCGGCCGGGCTAAACACATTTTTACTTTCTGATCTATCAGTTGCTATATTAAGTACTATCTGTCAGTTTACTTAATATCTCATTGTAGCATGTTAAAGATACATATGCATATATATTTAATTTGAATATTTATAATTGCTTAATTTTTATTTCAACTCATTCTTAATCAAGAGGTTTTGTGTCATAACCTTTTGAGGAACTTAAACTATGCTTGTTTTAATTATCTCTTTTTTTCATTGCTCCAGGTATTTCTTTTCTCATTTATTGAGTTTGGGAGTGAGGTTTTGATGTTTGTTCATTTTCTAGCTCCCTTTTGGAATGTTCATTTGCAAATTTATTTTGAGAGAGTACTGGATTTTTGAAATTTTTTATTTGTTTGTCTTTTTCTTTTCCTCACCCATGTCTAAATATTTTGTAGTTGCTTTGATCTAAGATTTTAGGGACCCCAGTTCTAAATAATATTTTATTTTTGGTTATTTTAGCCTTTTCAGGTCATAGACAATCTCTTAGTCAGTCTCATAGTTGGCCTGGTCTCTGTTGTGCTGCTTTTTCTGCTTCAAACTTCTCTCCAGACAAGAAGCTCTTCAAAGAACACGGCTGTGGGCAGTTATCCCAGCTCTTTTCAGCTTCTAGTACAACTTGAGAAGCCCTGTCCTTGATCTGTTTCCCTGCATTTACCCTCCTTCCAGACCCCAAACCCAGTGGGCCCTCACTTGGGTGATCTGAATCCCAGGTTCCTTCAGGAGTGAACTCCCAGGAAGCCACCGGCCATTTCTGTCTCTGAATCCCAGAGAGTGCTCATTTTAGTGTGTTTTTATTTCTTTTCTGATACATACAACATTAAAAAATGTTTTGTTGTTATTGTTTTTCAAAAATATCAGGGCAGTTTGTATTTCCTAAAATATCTATATGTTTATCACATAAAAAAAAAATAAAATTATATACAGACAACCATAATATTAAAGGGCTTATTTCTTGGTATAGTATCTAGATTCCTTGTCTTCCAGTGGCCAATCTGTCTCCACTTCCAAAGCCTTCTGGGAAGGGAGGTAGAAAGACTGTAGGGCTATAGAGGTCCCAACTTTCACCGTCAAGTTTGATAGACATTATAAAGTACAAGATTTTAAAAACATTCTCCTCGGGACACCTACACTTGAACATCAGAGAGCAATAGTAAGGACGCTTCCAGCTGTTCAGGTAAATGAAGGACTTTTTAAGTGTTGCTTTCTTCCTCCCAATTTTGCCTTCTCTCATTCTCATTATTTTTGTTTATTTGCTTGTTTTGTTCTAGTTTATTATGTCAAATATACTGGGGAAAATTTAAATGAGTTTAGTCATGAGATAGCCAGAGAAATAAATAAAGTCCAGCAAACAATAAAAAATAGTGATCAAACTACAAAACAAGGTCCTTAATTCCCACATCTGGATTCCCAAGTTGGAGCTACAGACCAAAGAGAGAGAGTTCAGATAAAAGAAATTTCCCCACTCTCCTCAGAAACATCAAGATGGTGGGAACTTCATGTCAGAGCCAAAGCTATTGAATTAGTTTTACAAAAAACATTCTGATGGTTTGGTAAAGGGCATAGACAACGTAAAGGCAAAGAAATTGTTAGATCTAAGAGCTACCTGAAGTGTAGAAACACTGGGGTTGAGTGATAGATTGACAGTATTATCAAGATTGTAAGACAAGAAATCAGCAAAGAACAAAAGGACCACTTCACTCCATATATGGCAATATTTTGGAATGGAATGGAATTGACAAGGATGGACACAGAAAGATATTTTTAATTTAAGAGCACATGGAAATATATGTAAAAATTTATCTCTGAACCATACTTGAATACAGCCTTGCTTAACCACTATAGTGTATGAATTCTATGGTATATAAGAAAAAATGTGTTCATATTTATTATTTAAAGTGGTTTTTATAACTGAAAATAATAGGGCCAGAGGATGGAAGCTCAAGAAAAATCTCCACTATTTAAAAATGCCACACCTCACTTAAATTTTCTGAACCTTGCTCTAAATAGTTTTTTTTTTTAATGTGATTACATTGTTTTAATGTTCTCAATGTGTCTGTGAAAATCAAATGAGGTAAATAATGTTATTTACAACACTTTAAAAACTCAGTTACTCTATGATCTTTGGCACTGTTACTATCATACTCTCCTCCATGGCTTTTCTACCTTTTATTTTTCCCTTTCTTGATAAATACTGCCTACTGATCCAGAAAAGAGAAAAGAACATATGGAGAAGAGTTTATGGATATATGTTTATTTCTTTACAAATTATAAATTTAGCATAATAAAGCAGGGAGAGAAAAGTCAGTTTTTAAAAATTATTATTTAACTGCAAGAAACCTGCAAGATCAACTTGGAAATATTCTTGACCAACAAAAATGTCTAACAGAAGGTTGATGTATAATATTTTGCTGTTCCTATTTATCTCACTTCCTCTCTCATAACTGTCAAATACTTTAAAGTACAGTTTATGCATCAACTATATCATTTTCTATCCTGTTATTTTCAGGGGGGGAAAATGATTGAAACTCATCCTGAGGTAAGCAGTTAAAACTGGAAATGTGCAGTTCCCAGTTATGTTCTCCTTCCAAGACAGAGCCGGCAGGTAAATTTGAATGCCTTCAGCATGTCTGATAAATCTAAAACAGTCACTTCTCCATAGTTCATCCATCAGTTTTTTGCTTCAGTGACACTGTACAACAAACCACACCAAAGCTCTGGCTTTCAACAAACAGACATTTATTCTCCAGCCTACAGGGCTGCAGCCTGCTAACAGTTTAACTCATCTACCCAGAGCAGGTTGGCCGGCTCTGGTTCAGGCTCAAAGTCAGCTCCGTTTGGCCCCAGACTGCAGTTCTTATCTGGGCTTCTCTGCACTTTATGTGAAAGGGCAGTGGCCCCTTGGCTCTTTTCTTGGTAGGTCACTGGAACACAAGAAGCAAGCCACACCAGACAAACACCTTTGACAGATGCCTGTGTCACCTCTGCTGGTCATCCCATTGGCCAAAGCAAGTCACATGGTCAAGCCCAACATGAATGGATCATTAAGGAACACTACAGTTGGAGGAGAGGGGACTGAATATTTGCTAAATATAGTCCACACTACATGTCTTGGGTGCAAAATTTTTTTCACATTGTGTAAAAATGATCTTGTAACTTTATAATAGTCGGTAAATCGTAAAGTATAGTCTTGCTGTAACAAATACAGTGTCAATGTAAGTTCTATTTTGAAAACTAAGAAGCCTGGTCCTAGTATATAGGTAATAAAATAAACTTCCTATTAAAAGATGCTTAAGGATATAAAGATAATTTTTATATTCTATCAAGACTATATCAAGAAAATATCGGGATAATTCTAACAGTTTGTGTTATATGTATATTATCATCTAATGCATGTGAAATTTTTGGTATGTTAATATACAATGAATGAAAAATAATTTTTTATTATATGGTACATGGCCTGTAGGGTTGATTGTCACAGGAAGTCACTAAATCAAATACTGTGACTAGAATTTTGAAAGCTGTTGGAAAATTTTATGGTGAGTAATGGCATTTATTATCATTCATACCAAGCCCCAGGTAATGAACTCTCCTATTTGAGGCTCTGGTTGATCACCTGAGGGTCAATGAAATGGTCCCCTTTGTGTAGCTAAACAATAGACTATTCATTTGGGAGCATTCGAAGCATAAAACATAGATTAAAAACTAACATCAGAGACCTCAAAAAAGCCTATTTATACCTCAACATTTCAGTGTGGTAGAGGCAATCCTATGTGTCACTATCAAGATTGATCTGTGTTATTATACATTAACCCTAATGGGTCTTGATCACTCTGAAGTGAAACAAAATTGAAGTTCAAGCTATTTATCAATTGTACATAAACAAATAATTCATTTTAATGCAAAATTTCAAGCAAAATCTTAATCTCAGAGAAAAAGAAACATTTTGATTTTCCTCAAAGATTAATATTAGTCTTATTTTGAGGGGGTCTCTGTCCCACAAGGCACAAAATGGGAAAGATTAAAGGGGTTGTTATTTCATTTTCTCCCAGTTTGCCTTGCTCACCAGTAAATCTTCCGCTCCCCAAGGAAATGCACAAAAAAGTGCACATGCTAATGTGAGTCTTCAAGTTAAGAATAAAACATTATTTCTCTATCTGCATTGTGGAGTGAAAAGATAAAAATGAGTTGAGCTAAATAGAGATAAATTTCCAGTTTCTTCCAAATTAGTTTTTTACAATGTTATTTTTAGTCTTTTTTATTTTTGAAAGATGGTGTATCAGCAGAATAACAGATATATTTGTATTTTAAGACAAATAGAAAATTTATCCACAGGCCAAAATATGCATGTTTTGGGAAATTATCTGCTATTTTGAATTATGTAAACACTTATCTATTTTAATCAAAGCACAAACATGCTTAAATCAGTTTTATTTTAGTACAAGTGTTTTCATGGGTGGAGCAACAATTTCATCTTTTTTATATATACATATGAAATACTTCAAGTTATTTTGATTCATTTATCATTATCAATAAGTTCATGTATGAGAGAATGGATACATAAAGACTCAGGAAGATAAGAGTTTGAGGCAAACTATGAAAAAAGATGAATAAAAGAAAGATTGATTAGATCTCTAGTCCCAGGTGAAATACAAAATACAAAACAGAGATAAAATCGGTTTTCAAAAACGAAAGTTGACATATAGCTGGAAGTCTGTGGAGATTCACAAGTCTATTCTTAGAAATATGTAAGTAACTGTGTATATGTCATTACTTGCTGTTTCTCATTTTTCCAATGTAGTTCAAAGGCATTTACATTTTAAAACCTTGTTAGAAATGTATTTCTAGTTACATATTTCAAATTGTTAATTAGGTTACTTTTATCTGACAATATAAGAACCTATTAAGAATATTAGCTAAATGTATTATATTAGTCTTGTTACAGTAGAGGGAATATGGCACTCATTAATCAAACTTCTACTGAAATACTGTAGATGCTTGTCATTTCACCAATCTATTTTATTATCTAAGTGATTACAAAAGTCCATGGACTAAAATAGTTTGTGATTTTCCTGAAACGTAAGTTTAATAAGCGAGGTGTATGTAGTGCAACTGGTACATGAGTTTCCAAGGTGGGTACAGATAGCTGGCCATGGCTGGGAATGCTAAAGAAGTTTAAGATTTGGGTCATAGCTGTCTTTTGTCACTGATGTAAGCTGGAATATTTAAAAAGTCCCACCTTTCCTATCTAAGCCCTCAATCTAAGCCTCCCCACCCCCACCTCCCCAACTAGAAGCCAGCTGAGAGGGGAGCTCAGGAAGAAGACTTTCTAAAGACCCAGCCTCAACATCATAGAAAGAGCATAAAAGGTGGGTTTGGACAGGACAGGTGAATAAGAGCCCAAAGATGTACTTGCTTCTGTGAAGGAAAAAAGCCCGTTACTAATCTTACAGATATAGGGGTGAATGCATGTAAGAAAGTAATGGTATTCAAGCATCTGTGGGATTAACAATGTATGCAGAAAGATTTCACATAAAGTTTTTAATTAGTTTAAACAAAATTGACTATCCCCATTATATATATAATCATTCTGAGCTTGTTGGAGAACTTTGGAGCATTGGGGCAATGCAGAAGACACAAAATCAACTATTCCCGTGAGTGATCAATATTGACTCTACTATTTTGTTAAATCACCATTATTTTACATTAACATAAAATATACTCAGAATATTTTGGGGTAAATTTTTATTTTTGAATGATAGAAAACATCACATCATACTTTCAATAGATTAAAGTAACTTCTGATGCTTAATTGATGCATGATTTTTTTGTTTTGTTTTTCTCCCACTGTATTTTCTAGTTAGTTATTGCTGTTACATGGGAAAACTATTGCGTTAGGAATATTTATGTTTTATCTAGACACTTTATAAACTCTTATATTAACTTCCTTTATTCTCTGAGAATTCCAAGTAGAAAATCATATTGTCTATAAAAAATTCAAATTACATCTCCTCTAATAAAATTATACCACTGCTTCTGCTTCATGTTGTATTGAATTAGAGTATCCACAAACACTGCTACTTTTTCTTGCTATAAAAATGATTATTGGACATAACTTTTGGCTATTTTTATTGTTCTTAAAGTTTCTAAATTATTTGTCAGGCTCTGATTTGCTACCACATGTACAAGAAATAATCTTTTGACATTTCCCTTAACTCCCTTATTGTTTCCAAGCTCTATAATTAAAAGAATTTTTGAAATATATATTTTGAAACACGCCTGTTGAGTAAGATTCAGCTCTAAATAGTTCAATGTGCCTAATGTTATAATAGATGTTAGGAGGAAAAAAATAAACCCACTAATATAAAAAAAATAGGTGCTTTCAAATAATTTCCATTCCAGTCAGTTGGGCAATGAAAGCTGTCACAAAGGAGTCTGTGATAAAATACTGAGCAGTTATAATTAATATTTATTGTTTACAGTTCACAATAAGCTGGTCACTGAGTTTTGCATAGATTATTACTAACATCTCCTTGATTATCCTTTGAGATAAAGTTTGAAATTATGTAGATAATGAATTGGAGCCCTAAAGAGGTTGAAGTATTTGCTTAAGTCACATTGCTAACACCTAGGCCAGCTTGGATAAGTGTTTAAGCGGTCTAACCTAAAATCTTAAACATTGTCTTCTTAAACATATTCCTCTGAAAACTTAGAAAGATGATACTAGGTCATGAAAGTTCTATGGAGTTTTTAAGGTTGGTGTAGTATTTTGAGAGTGTAGAATATTACAGACAGTCTCTCTAATGAGAAGCTGGTATGAAGGGGTCAGGACTTGGGGGAAACAATGTTAGACTAGCCTGACTGAAGCAGAGTGTGAATAAAAGAGAATCATAAACTTGGAAAAATATTGGAGAAAATCATGAATGCTGACCTAAAGAGGTTTTATTTTTTACCTTGAAAGTGATAGGAACAATAGAGAAAATAGAACATTATGGAACAGAAGCCACATACAGCAGGCCTTCTAGATCAGACTTTAAAAAGGGAGATTAAGATATTTCAGTCTAAGGACTTATAAAAAAAAAAAAGAGAGAGAGAAAGAGAGAGAGACTCCAGGAAATCACAAGCAGCAATAATTAAGGCTGAGAAAAATATGTGGCATACAAAAACAAGCTACTTTGGATATGGTGAATTCATTTTCTTTAAGCCTATTGCAGTCCCAAAGGAGACAGAGGGAACAAAGCCTCAGGGTCAAAAGTTCTGAAGCAATTTTCATCTTCAGAATTCTGTCAAACTGAGCTGAAAATATTTTTATTCAAATCCTCCTAAGATTTCAGGTAGCCTCCAGCTATGCTGAACCACTTTTCACACTGTTTCAAAACTTCCATCCCCTTTATGCCTGAAATACGGCTTTGCCTTGTCTTAAAACACAAGTGCATGCATGTGCGCGCACACACACTCCACATGACAGAAAGCCCATGGAAAGGAAAAGTTAGAAAAATCTTTAAGAATATCAGAAAAAGTCTGCTTAATATCCTGCTATAGGGGCATTACTCACACTTTTTATCTCACTAGTTTGTTCTTTCATAGAAATGACCTCAGAAACAGCAACACGCTATAAAGCTCTATACTAAAACACATTTTAATTGACTTTCTAAATTTAGGATGACTTTGCTTTTAACCATTTTCAGACATTTGGAAGTCTGATGTATTTTTCAGTAGTTGGTGCTTTCCAGCTAGAAAATCGGTTCTTATTTAAATAGTCACATGTGTGTTGACTGGTAATTAAACTATTTATAATTACAATTATAAATAGCAAAAGGTTCCCTACTTCTACCAAAAATTGTAGCTGCCTCAATCCACATTTCCATGTGAAAATGGGCATTTGCATGATCAAATCTGAGAACCACATTTTAGTCATTTTACAAATGTTCACCACAAGTAATTTAAATATGTGTTAAGTGCAAAATATTTTTAGATGATGGTGTCAAAAATACAGTGAGTGACTGATGCAAAAAAAAGTGTAACTTTATGAAAATTCAAATTTCCTATGTATTTTAATCTACTTTGGCTTTCTTTTCAGAGATATTGGTTAAGGCTTTATAGAAAGCAAACAGAAGTCATGCTCTAAAGCATTGCTATCCAGTCAAACTTTGTACTTAATGGATATGTTCTCTCTCTGTGCTATCTGATACATTTTGCCACAAGTCACATGTATTGACATTTTAAATATGGCAGAGAAACTGAACTTTCAATTTTATCTAATTTTAAATAACTTAAAGTTAAATAACCTCATGAAGTTAGAGGCTACTGTATTGAACAGTACAGTCTATAGCCTATGAGAACCTAAACTATGTTATCAGTGTATATCAATCTTTTGACAAATAGATGTTGCTTCTACATTTTTTGCATTATCAATGAATTAATAAATATAAAACACAAAGGAAACAGCATTATAACACATTCATACACATTTGTTAACATATAGTAATACATATATTATACATACACATATTTGTTCTTTCAGAGCTTAAAACAATATAGTTAAAATCCAATGCTGCTGGAGGAATCTTAAGTGACCAGAAGATCACATCTAACAGGTGAGTTCTGTTTCTCCATAGATGGGTCTCCATTAAATGTTTGATTTGGGGGATCTATGCAAACAAATTATTTAATATTTACTAATGTATCAACACAGTTCTATCCATTTCTTATCAGCATGAGCTTCATAAATGAGTCATTCTCTTTTTTGGCTAAAGTCCTTGAAAAAAGACTCAATACATTTTTTTTAATTGGCTAAATATATGTCCTTCACTCACTCTAGCTCTGTGGGTCTTTACAGTGTCTTAAAAATATCCCCAAGGCCTATTTTGTTGAGCAGTCCTATTTAATGCACAGTTATAGCTGTTACTGTTTGATATATGGCCTCATACAACATAAAAAAATGGTAGCTGTCACACAAAATTATTCACCCTCTATCTTTTCAAGAAGACTTTCATGTAAGTCTTCATGCCTACATCCATTTCTTGGTTATTTTCCCCTTACGTCAACTGATTTTAGGTGTTTTTGGTGTTTCTCCCTCTCTAATGTATTACCTACTTTATTCAAATACGTAGGTGGCGCATTTTTAAGTGAATCAGTAATAAAGAAGTTGAGACCACAAGTCTCATCACCCTCTACATGCTATTAGTATTAAACTCCCAAGGGCCAACTGTGCAGTGAACCATGGTAATGAGGTTGATAGTTCATGAAGGAGCTGATGTGACAAATTGTCAACCTGCTGTAAGGACAGCCTAATCCTCCAGAAGGCCAATGTTATTCTACTTTCCATCCAGTTCTGCTGTAGTTCTAAATGTGCCAGTGCTAGCTCGGAATTTAAATAGTACATTCCCCACCCCCACCCCCTTGGAAAAGAGAGCACCTGGTGGCATGTACATTTATAATCCCCTTTTGAAATTGGCATGCTCTCAAGGTGCATTTAATCAGCATTTGTCATACAGTTTAAAGTACAGATAGATGTTTCATTTTTCATGCCTTATTTTGGAGGCATTTGTGAAAACAAGCATCTTCATTTGTCTCTGTTCTGGACCCGTAAGAACTTTATGGATGTATTAGTTCCCATCTCGATAGTCATATTCACTGACTGCTACATTTTTTTCATATTTGAAGGAAACCCCTCACCTTGCAGGCGTCTTTCTGTTCCTTTGCTCGGCCTGCGTTTGTAATCTGGAAAAGAAGGCAAAACTCTCAACATATTAAAAGACGAGTATTGCTCAAATACAGTTAAACCAGGTGAATTTCTTTGTAGATTATAAAGCTCACTAGTTCTTTACTCTTCTCTTCATCTCTTCACTTTATCTTAAAGGCATTAAAGGTATTCTTTTTTCCAAAGATGTTACTGTTGGCAAGTAGATAGAATGAGTCATCTCTAACACTCAGGGAGAATTCTAGCCCTAATTGCACTGCATAGATACCCTTTTATTAGAAATTTATAAGCATTTTAAAGAAAGTTTACACTGAAGAGAATGGTTTGCAAACCACCTCTGGTTTGTCCTGCAGAAAGGCGGCTGGACATCTTGGGCTCAGTTTGTGGTAGTGAAACTAAAGGGTTCTTAGAGGCAAGGTTGCCAAAATAATTTTAATATCTGAGATGCTCCTGAAGTTCCTATTTTGGAATGGTAACCTCCCAGGCTTAATAGAAAATAGTTATATTTTATAAATTGGAGCTTTATTACTTCAGCCCCTAGTTTCATGCTTCTGCGAATCATATAAAATAAAGCTTTGTTTCCCAACCTAAGGGGTCCAATTTTCTAATTCCCACGTAAATCATGCACCTCAGGCCCTTGCATTTTGAACCTATGTGGTTTTACCTTGCATTTAACTATGTAAAACACTAAAAATATTTTCCCACAATGTCTCAGGTACATGTTCTGTCTTATGTAAACTCCTTGAGGCTATGGCAAATGTGAAGCCTTTTCTCGGACACTGGCTGTAAGATTTCCCGTCAAAGCTGGTAAAATGTGACCTGCATGTTATCACTTGCTCTTATTATTCACTCTGGGAATCTCATCATCTTGCAGTTTATTACCAGGAGGAACCATGTTTTACTTTACACTACTCAGAGGATGCAAATCAGCAGTCCACTAACTAGATTTAACCGCTAGACTTGTTTTAATTGGTCAGCAAAGTGTTATTAAAACATTAAAGCTTGAATGCTTTTGGGGAAGGCATTTCCAGTTCTACTCAGCCCCTTCTGCTCTCTACTCTCTCATATTTCAATAATCTACTGTTCAGCCAGAAAATACATGTGAATTTGAGACTCCCAGTCATATTTATTTTATTGTCCCACGTGGCACTTTTATTCATTGAACACCTATGTGTTGAGTGCCAAAAGAAGCCAGCCACTGTTCCAGAAAGAGGTAAAAAAAAACAGAAACAAATTCCTCTCTGCACAGAATATATTCTGGACAGCTGCATTCTGGGATCTGATAATTACTGAAAAAACATTTGGAAAAAAAATGAATGAAGTAACTATGTTAGTCCAGGTCCCCTGAGAAGCAGATACTAAGATGAAATAAAACATGCAAGAATTTTTTAAGAAAATACCCATGTGAGAGGAAATAGGGGCTGTCCAAATTATGACTTGACTTGTCTGATTAAACCCAATTCAAAGTGGGTAGTTCTAGATACATGATAACTTGCTGAAGAATTTCATCTCTGTCAGGGTGGGGCAACAGAACTTTGTTTCTCAAAGGAAGTATAATTCTCTCGCTCAATCTGATGGCATGGCCTTGCTTCTGATACCCAGGGGATTGCATCTTAGTTTTCTCACTAGACTTTGCCACAAACTCCAAACTGCATTTGGTACTCCTACTGACACCTCCACACCATAAGGTCTATTAGATTAAAGATAAGGCCCAGAAACAGGGCTTATTGTACCCAGCCTGGATCCACTACACTACCCTTTTCTGTTCCAGGGCAGATTCTAAGCTGCCTGCACTCTGTGTTACCTGGTATGGAGGTATATCAGTAGGAAATTGTTGCCTCGAGAGCCCAAAGTGGTCTGCTGAACTGGCTGCTTTCTTTGTGGTCAGGGATACAAGATGCAGCCATCTGTTGCCTTGGAAGGAATCTTCCAGTTACTCCTGACCACTAAAAACATCCTACAGGTCAAACTCTTTTGGTTTCTCCTCCTACTTTGTCCATAGTATGATAATTATGCATCCTAGTTTCTAGTTTTTAAGCACTGTCATTTGTCCTCTGTAACTACTTCAGGGCCCTTTGCCTTGTGGCAAGATAGTAAGAAGCTAGGACAATTCCTGGGTAAGTGGAATAGAGAAACTGAGACAAGAAAATTAAACAAGGCCAAACAGTTTGGGCAGATTGCAGCCAGTTTACAGCAAGACCTTATCTTCCCCAACCAAGGACACTTGAAAACAAATGGTTAATACTTCTCCTCCCTACCAGAGAATCCATGTTTAAATCACCCTGGAACTGCCAAGACAGGAGGGGAGAAGAAGGAAGGAAAAAGGGGAGAATTTTATTTCACTCACTGAACAAAGAAGTCAGCCATCCTAAGACTTGCCAAACAAGATGACCTGGTATATGTACAAACATCCTAAGAGAACCACAACAATGTAAAAGGGAATTTTGAAACGTAATCTGCAACCCAAGATATCTGGCAGAGGAACCTTGAAACCTATAGACAGAAGGGTGTAAAATCTCTTGAACCCCCACCAGGCATACTCTCAGACCAACTAAGTTGTCAGCTTGTGCTTTATGTCAAGCTTATTTTTAATAAATTTGCATGCTTTGCTTCCTTGATAAATTTGCTTGCTTTGCTACAATGCTATTATCTATCACTGTCAATCTTCTAAAAACTTTCTTACCAGACTGACAAGACCTAGATGGGGATAGTTCTCTCCCTCCAACTCAAGGGACTGTCCAATAACATCTTATCTGATGCCAATACAACCTCACAGATGTTCATGAGCTCAACTATGTGAATGTCTGTCCTACCTTCATGGCTTGACTGCAGAGAAAAGCAACCACTGAACTTATTAGCGATGTTGGTGGCCCTCTCATCAACACATTCCTGATGGACCTTCTCATGGACCATACTTCTCTCCTGGATCTTCTTACCTAATCTAATATATCTGGCTGGACCTCATAAGTAAGCATTCATTAATTCCCTCAGCCTTTGTATTCTTTCCTTTATGCTCTGCTGTGGAAACTCAGGCATTTCTATGACCATGGTTTATTCCAGGTTTCTAAGAGCCATCCAGAATAAATTTAACCCAGGCTTTGGTGTCCTTGCTAGAGTGTTAAATCTCTTATCTGACAAAGTGTCCCCAAGTCACTACAAACAGTGCTAAATCCTTAGATATTAAAATGTTACCCAAAGTAAAATTTTTAGGTAAAAAGATTTTTTTTAATTATATAGCCATTACTAGATTTTATTCCTGTTCTATTTCTGTTGTAAACATTCATGTTTTCACCAGCAATCTAATATTGGATATCAATTATTTCATATTCACCAATCTCATACATGAAAAAAAAATGTTCTTATTGTACTTATAATTTGCATTGTTCCCTACTGTGAGTCAAGAAATATTTTTGTTGCCCTTCTGGCTTTTTTTCCTATTTATATCTTGCATTTTATTTTCATTTTACTTATCAGTTTGTAATATCTATGTAAAGTGTATTTGTATATGAGTGATATAAGTAGGTTTTTTTGCATTTTTGTCTGTATGTATTTTTCAATATGGGACATTATTTAATTTATGTACATACATATGTATAATTTCCTTATAGCCTATGTGATTTCAATCTTGCAGCTGACCATACCAGAGACAATACAAATTTTCTCATTTTTTTCTTAATAAATTTAACTTTTTAGGTATTTAAGTTTTAAAATACAAATGCATTTGAAATTTATGCTTATATGTGGTTGTACCAGAACATTTGAAAATAATTTTCTTATTAACTATGTTCAAACTTAAGAATACCTCATCTACTAAGGGTTTTATTTTTCTTCAAAAACTATATTTTTAATTTTCAGGAATTCTAAAATAATCTCTTGATGTGTCTAACAATAGTAATTTATTTTCTGGCTTTCTGGTTGGTCATCCATTGGTTTCATAATGTTTTATCACTCTATAAATGGTATTGTCTTTCACTACCTAAACAAATATTTCAAATTACTTTTATTTTATTAATGTACCTTGAAAGTTTATTTGACAAAGTTAGTTTAACCATTTGCCTCCACCAACTCCCCTGGGACCTCCAACCCATCAGTTTTTTCCTGTATTGATACTGAACACACCATAGATCCAATCATTTTTTTTAATGATTAATGAATTTGAGCATCTTTTCATATGTATATCAGTCACCTGTATGTCCTCTTAGGAGAGGTGTCTCTTCAGGTCCTTTGCCGATTTTTTAATTGATTATTTGGTGTGTTTTTTGGCATTGAGTTGTATAAGTTCTTTATAGATTTTGGATATCAACCCCTTATCAACTGTATCAATGGCAAATATGTTCTCCCATTCAGTGGGTTGTCTTTTCAATTTGTTAATGGTTTCCTTTGCTGTGCAAAAACCTTTTTGTTTGATGTAGTCCCATTTATTTATTTTTTTCTTTTGTTTCCCTTGCCCAATGATGTATATCAGAAAAAATATTGCTATGAGAAATATCTAAAATTTTACTGCCTATGTTTTCTTCTAAGATTTTTATAGTTTCAACATTTAAGTCTTTAATGTATTTGAGTTTATTCTTGTGTATGGTGTAAGAAAGTGGTCTAGTTTTATTTTTTTTGCATGTGCATGTACAATTTTCCCAACCCCATTTATTGAATAATCTTTACCCTATTGTATGTTTTTGCCTTCTTTGTCAAGTATTAACTGACCATAAAGGCATGGGTTTATTTCTGGGCTTTCTATTCTGTTCCACTGATACATATGCCTGTTTTTATGCCAGTACCAAGTTATTTTGATTACTATGGCCTTCTAGTATAGCTTGGTCTACTGGCTAGTAGCTGGTTCAAATGAGCTAGTCTTATGCAAGCATGCTGGGCCTTAAATTCTGAGAGGTCTCAGCATCAACAAGATAAATTCAGCTATAGCAGGCCTCATTAGCCTTACAGAATCAGCAACAACTCAAGCTTTATATGATGCCATCTCTAAAGAGGAGGTTTTGGTAGTCGTTCCTCGACCTATGTTTATGCCCAAATTTTGCTAAGCACATATGAGGCAAGAATTGAGTTAAGAAAAAAGAGTCTTTTCTTATATAGATTTCTTAGAAATTAGGAGGCAAAACTTAAATTTTCTATTTTTTTTTCCTGAGTTTTCAACCTGATATTCAAGCTGGTCTTCAAATTAGCAAGTAAGATGTGTTTGTTCACAAAGACTAATTTTGAATATACACAAGCTGCCCAAATCATGATTTTTAATATTCTATACCATATTCAGTTTAAAAAGAGAAATCTGAGCAAGAGCTAAATTCTTCAACTCAGGTGACTTTTTATTAGCTTTTATTTTTATTTATTTTGGGGAGGAGGTAAAAATTTACTCTATTTCTAACTTGATTTTGTATGTTATACTCTGACCAATTATGTGTTGGTCTTAAATTTTATAATCTTTTAAGGGTAGTTTGCTAGATGTTCCAAACTTAGCTCACAATGACAAAATTACATATGTTCTAACTATAGATTTTAGTTGAATCACCCATAGCAAGATTATATTTTATAAATCAACCAAAAGTAAAAGGAGACCATATTAGAAATAGAAAAATGCCATCTTCTATTCTTAGAGCAGAAAACCAACTCATATAAATTACTGCAGACACAAAGATCAAAAAGGAAATTCAAAAACCTGTTCCTGCAAAACTACATGAGAAGGTTGCACATGAAATTTAAAGACGTGGGAAAGATAATAATGAAATACCACTGGACACCCATTAGAATGGCCAAAATCCAGAACACTGACAACACCAAATGCTGTTGAGGATGTGGAATAACAAGGAGCCTCATTCACTGCTGATGGGAATGCAAAATTATACAGACATTGTGGAAGACAGTTTGGCAATTTTGTGCAAAACTACCTTACATGTCCTTACCATAAAATCCAGCAGACACACTCCTTAGTGTTTACCCAAAGGAGCTGAGAACATATGTCCACAAAAACACCTGCACAAGAATGTTTGTAGCAGTTTTATTTATAATTGCTAAAATTTGGAAGCACCCAAGATGTCTTTGAGTAGGTGAATGGTTAAATAAATTGTACTGCTTTCATACAATTCAATATTATTCTGCATTAAAAATAAATGATCTGTAAAGACATGAGAAGACATGGAAGAACCTTAAAAGCATATCACTAAGTGAAAGAAGCAAATCTGAAAAGGCTACCTATTGTATGATTCCAAATATAAAACATTGTGGAAAAGGCAAAACTATATAGAGGTAAAAAGATAAATGATTATCAGGGGTTGGAGGGAGATATGAATAGGCAGAGCATAGAGGACTCTTAAAAAATATATCTTTATTGATTTCAGAGAGAGGAAATGAGAGGGATAGAAACATCAATGATGAGAGATTCATCGATTGAGCCCGCAACCCGGGCATGTGCCCTGACCAGGAATCAAACCCCAAAGGCCTGGGTCCCAGGTCGATGCTCAACCGCTGAGCCATGCACAGAGGATTTTTATTTTTAGGGCAATCAAAGTACTCTGTATAATACTATAATGGTGTGAATACATGTCATTATAAATTTTTCCAAACCCACAGAATATAAAACACCAAGAGCAAACCCTAACATGAAATATGGACTCTACATAATAATGACATGTCAATGTAGGTCCATCAATTATAACAAATGCACCTATGCTGGTGAGAGACGTTGATAATGGGGAAGGCTATGCATGTGTGGGGGTGGGGATATATGCGAAATCTTTGTACCTTCTGTTCAATTTTGCTGTGAACTTAAAACTTCAAGAAGATTCAGTAGCTTCTGAATAAAAAAATAAAAGATATTTTTAAAAAGTAGTAAAATATAGCACAGCTATGCTTTCAGACCAAAGTGTTAGAAGTCTGAAAACTAAATTAAAATGACATTATTATTAAACTCAAGGTTAGGCAGGAACTTTCCTTATAAGAAAGGCTCACTAATTATGATAAAAACTAGATAATTGTGAAGATGAAATTTATATCTTAAAGGCCAAGATAGACACATAAAAAAAGATACATACAGTTCTAGCTTCTCTTAAAATATCTATAAGTAGAAGGGGTGGTTAGCTGCTATTAAATCAGTGAAATTGACAGGGAATCAGAAAAATCCAACAGAAGAGACACCAAATGAGAAATAACTCCCCAGAGTTTGCCAGGATCTAAGAAAGTATTCATGGGAAGCCTCAGACACAAAAAGAGAACTTAAGAGTACAAGCAATTTAGGAGCTACCCCATACAAGTTTGTCTTTATACAGTTAGCTGCAGAAAACCTGGTAAGATTTTAAATAAGACCAGGAAGACCAGAAGAGAAGAAATACAACAATAAAAACCAAAGTATTATTATTTGCGTTTCAAAGTAATACAACCATAATAAATTGAAGATAGATAGTATTGTATCTTAAAATTTTCTGGAATTAATTCTTAAGGCATGGTATAGGAAAGATGAGATATATGACAAGAAAGCCATGGAGGACAATGATATATTACATATAGTCCTGAGTTAAATGTTCCTCATGGCAGAATATCTCCTTCATAGGATAATCCAATTCAAAAAAAAAAAAAAAAAAAAAGCACAATGTTTGATTTAGCCATGGATGACTTTATTAGACCCAAAACTTTTTGACATCCCTTTTCTCAGCATATAAAAATATAAAACAAAATTTAGAGAACTATATTAGAAGGCTATGGTGTCAGAAGCTACTGAATCTTCTTGAAAGTATTATAGAAATAATAGTTAAATGCAAAAATCTATCCCACTACTTCAGGAAAGGAAATAGCAGAAAGAAATGCTGACCCATATCTAGTATGGTCAAAATTTGTGGAAAGCCAGTGTTTAAGTAACAGATGCCAGTGGCGTGGGTCTTTGCTGGTTTCTAAGACCATCATCCTCAGGTGAG